TTTACTCCAATTTGCTATGTATCTCAGTTCTCCTATTATCTGTACTCAAGTATAATTGCTGTATTTTTCTTGCATTCTGATAACGTTATCAATCACAATGTATTAACTGGCATTTGTGAAAGTAATGATCTAACTTTAGTTATTCAAATTAATTAATTATTTGTGATTATCGGTACCACTTAATTAACATTTATCTTCACTGCACCTTGGTTCGCATATCTACTGTGCTCAACAGTGTTTTCACTTTTGTGCAATATACAAGGTAGCGAATGACAATAATATATTAAGTATAGAGTGCCACATTAATTCAGTGTTCAAGTAATCAAAACTTTATCTGCACCACAGTAACCTTAGTGATTAGTGTAGTACAAATTGTATACAATTGCTTAAATAGGGTATTTAATTGCTTAAATAGTGTAAATTGCTTAATAGTGTAACTGTGTGATAATTGCTTAAATAGTGTAAATTGCTTAATAGTGTAACTGTGTGATAATTGCTTAAATAGTGTAACTATGTGCACGATCACCAAGAATAATGTGTAGTGCATAATGCAACACTAATTTAGTGCCGAAGTGTTAAAGTGTACAAATGTCATACTGTGATAATATACTGTGCAAGTGTTAGCAAAAGTGTTCCGGGCAATCAGTGTTTAGCACACATCCCAAGTGTTTATAAAAGTGCTCTGTGTTCAAGTGTATAAGTATTTGCAACAGTATTCTACCCAATCTGTGTTTAGCACACAGCTCAAGTGTTCACAACAGTGTTCTCAGCGACAAAGTGATTATAATTTACTTTCTCCTGCAACTAAGCAATTGATGAAATATGCAAGAAAGTGACAACTCCATTTTAGCAAGGGACCTCGACCTTACAAATCCAGCCCAGAGAGACACTCTAAGCTACTCGGAGAAGATTCATTCATTTGCAGACGAGGCTCTGCGCATCAGCAAAACAAAGTGCGGCAAACGAGCAGTACTTCCAGCTGACTTACGAGACCAAATAAGATTTATAATAGAAGCACTCAGAGAGCTGGCCCTACAGGGTCCAGACAGCGATAACCCTCGGCCTACTACTGAAATAGGTGTGAACACTGAGGAAGAAGTTCTCACAGCACCGATCACCATACAGACGGCAGCTTCCAACAGCACACGCGTTAAATCTTACGCACAAGTTGCCGCCCCGAAGCTGAAGCATACTATTCTCATTTATCCAACAGAGAATACAGCAACCTCTAGCAAAGACCTGAAAACAGTCCTCAACGAGAAATTTCCACTACAAAAGCTGGGAGTCAAAATTAGCACCATCCGGAACCTGCAGAAGGGAGGATTAGCGGTAGACTGCGTAACCAAAGAGGACGCAACGAAATTAGTCAACACCCTACAGAGTAAACAGGGGCAAGATCTGGTCAAGACCAGACAACCACAGACCAGATTACCGAGAGTGGCCATACACAGTGTGTCACCTGATGTCCAGCCAGAAGAATTGGAAAAAGCGCTCAGCTCCGAGTTCCATCTATCCAAAGCATCAGCAAAGATCCTCTACCGTCTCAAAGACAGAGAAAATACTGTTAAATGGATCGTGGAGTGCCAGCCAGCAGCTTACCGAAGTCTCCTCCAATGGCCCAAATTGTTCATTGGTTGGCAAAGACACCGCATCGCGGAACACTTCAATACCAAGAGATGTTTCCGATGCCAAGAGTTCGGTCATACTCAACAAGGCTGCACGAATAAAATCTACTGCGCCTTCTGTTCGGGCAACCACAGCATCAAGGACTGCCACGCATGCCAGCCCACCTGTATCAACTGCGCAGATACAAATTTCCGAACACATAGTACAATGCCCTGCAACCATCCAGCATACGACATCCGATGCCCAACCTATGCACGGTATGTTGAGCGAATCCGACGAAGCACAATCTACGAATAACGCACAACGACCAAGTACCTCCGCACCAGCATGGACGCCACACAAAACGAAAAATACACCCACTGAAGATCGACCAGAAACAAAAGTGGAAACCACCCAGCACCAGACACCCATACGATGCGCTCAAATTAATTTGCAGAGAGCAGAAGCTGCCTCAACCCAAGCCATACAACATGCAATACATCATAATTTAGACTTTCTTCTAATCCAGGAACCATACTGCCGTGAAGGCCAGGTGGCAAGTTTTCCCCTGGCATGGAAGATCTTCCAAAGGAAATCCACAGCAGAGCAGGCACCCAGAGCAGCCATTGCCTGCTGTAACCCTACCTGGACACCTTTCCTGGTTTCAATGGAACGAGATTTCGTCTCCGTACTAGTTATCTTTAACAATCAACAGTTCATACTAAGCTCCGTTTATTCCTCCCCCAGCGATGACCTCACTGACGCAACTACAGCATACAATCACGTTAGACTGAAATGTCCTACGGTACCACACATCATTGGAGGCGACTTCAACGCCCACAACGTCATTTGGGGCTACCGTGACACGACTCCTAAGGGCCACGAAATGGAAAACTTCATGGCGAGCAATAACCTGCATTTGCATAACAGCCCCGGTGCACAGCCGACATTTGACAACTCGTATCATAAAGGCTGGCCCGACTTGACCCTTTCAACATCGGACATTGTCAACAATATTTACTCTTGGACTGTCATGGATGATGAAAGCAATTCCGATCATAAGTACATCCATTTCCTCATTCAAGTAGACACCAGCATTAGCATTTTAAAAAGGTTTAAGCTTCCGGGTGGCAAGATTAGGCATCTGCATCGCATTCTCAGCGAAACTCTCAGAAGAGAAGAGATGGAGCTTAATACGCATAATGACCAGTATGATATGAATATCTACACAGATAATCTTCTCACCACTCTCAAGGACACATGCGAGCGAATTCTACCAATCAGGACTGCCAAGAAACTGCAAGGCATTACGTGGTGGACTAGGCAGCTGAGACAAATGCGCCAAAGGTGCAGAGCATTACGTCGCCGTCTCCGAACGGCTGTAGACGGCACAGAAACGGAAAGGTTGCTAACTGCATTCCGACAAGCACGGGCTACTTATAAAAAAGCAATTCTAGAAGCCAAAATCAACAGCTGGCGCAATTTTTGTACCAGCAATAGCAATCCTTACGGAATCCTGCATAAACTGGCCACGCAGAAAATCTTCCAGCCGGCACAAGTGCCAGTGCAGCCAGGGAATCTACCACAAACAATTGACTTAGCAGGGTCCACGGCCACAGCACTGCTTGATGCAATCTTCCCAGCGGATCCAGAACAGGATGACACGACGGCCCAGCGACTTTTGAGAAACTCCACAGAGATCCCAAGAACGCCAGAAGATGTCCCCATTACAATGCAGGAAATCACTCACATCTTCCGCCATCTACCACTGAAGAAGGCACCGGGTCCGGACGGACTTGATTATGCAATCTTAAAGGTCGCCTTCCGAGCACGGCCCACCTTCTTTCGCCTCTACTTCAATAAACTCCTGCACCACAGAGTATTTCCACAAGCTTTCAAGAAGGGACACGTGGTACTTTTTCTCAAAAAAGATAAGAACCCAATAGACCCCTGCTCCTTTCGTCCGATCTGTCTCCTTTCAGCGTTGGGTAAGATCTATGAAAAGATCATAGTTAACAGGCTGAAGTATCATATTCACAAAAACAACTTCCTCAGTCCCAAGCAATATGGCTTCCGTTCAGGTTGCTCAACCACACATGCCCTTCAACGAATATATGATGAAGTCCAGCTTAATCGCTCACAGAATCTTCAGACTGCATTCATCTCAATAGACCTCCAGAGCGCTTTCGACACCCTTTGGTGGCCCGCCATCAAGCAGGCCCTCAGAGAGGCGCAATGCCCGGAGAACATCTACCAAGTCTTTGAGAGTTATCTCACAGATAGGCAATTACTTATGGCAAACAATAATGGCATTGTTACTAAGACCCAAGTCAGAGGCTGCCCACAAGGGTCCTGTGCAGGGCCCTTGCTCTGGAACCTGACATTTAACAAAATCCTCGAAGCGACGTGGCCTGATCACACAACTATCATTGCATATGCTGATGACGCGGCTCTCCTTGTTAAAGGTCGCACACGAGACGAAATTGAAGCCAATGGCAGCGAAGCGTGCGCCAAGTTCGCAAGCCTATGCGAAGACCTTAAGCTGAGGATTTCTATCACCAAGTCTTCTGCACTCCTCATCCCAAGACCGGGCACGAGGCCTGTACGTCGTCCCTGTATCCGATTACTTGGCCGCAACATTAAATTCATGGATACACAGAAGTATCTAGGAGTGGTCTGGGACTCTGGCTTAACATGGGTGCCACATTTGCAGCAACAGAGAGCAAAAACCTCCGCTATAGCCAGAATGACACGGAAATTTCAAGGAAGGAATTGGGGACTAAATCCCCACATTCAAAAAGTGCTTTATAGCACGGTGGTGGAAAAGATTGCGCTGTACGCAGCTGCAATCTGGGCTCAACCGATGACAACGAGGAAAATCAAGCAGTTAACATCACTCCAACGCCCTTTTGTCATAAGCATCTGCAGGGCATACTGCACAACAGCCACGAGCTCCGCCCTTACTCTAGCAGGTATAGTCCCTCTACACATCCAGGCCGAGCTAGAGGCGACATATACGAGAGTCCTTCACTTGAGGAAAGACGCCTCCTTCGCAGGTACTCTCTACAGTCCAGCACTTTATGAGCACCCCAAGACACCGCTGCACACACATCCAGCGCATAAAGGACTAGGGGTCCACACCCCACATCATGCAACAGCCCAACAAGGAAATACAGCACATCAGCAACCATACACTTTACACTGATGGTTCTAAACATGCTGAAGGCGTTGGCAGTGCTTTCCTGCACTGTTGGCAAAGCCAAGAATTACATCATTGGAAAGGCCACCTAGGTGACAGCAATAGCGTCTTTCAGGCAGAAGTGATAGCAATTACAGCTGCTGTTGAATATCTAATAAGCCGAAAAATCTCAAAAGCTTATCTCTATACGGATAGTATGTCTGCCTTGCTGGCCCTAAGCAAACACAACCATGTTTCCCCGTTGATCATCCGCCTTCAAAAACTCTTAAAAGATAACCCACAGGTACACGTGGACATGACATGGGTGAAAGCTCACGAAGGCAATGCAGGTAATGAGGCAGCGGACGTGCTCGCCAAAGAGGCAGCCTCAAACATCAACGCACGTCCCATCGCTGTTCCGGCGCCACCTTCCCATCTTAAAAGACTGCTGAAAGGCGCAGCAGTCCAGTGGTGGCAAAGAGTATGGGAACATGGAAACACAGGAAGAAGAGTGTATGGTTTTCTACCGATGGTGACAACGGAGAGACTCATAGCAAACGCTCCACTTACTAACTTTGTAACTGGGCACGGTCCCTTCCCGGACTACTTCAACAGACGCACTATTTCTAATACGGATCGCTGTGTATGCGGGGAAGAGGGGACACCCGATCACTATATCTTCCGGTGCCCACTCACAGAACAGCACCATTTCCCGGAACCCACGAACATACCTGCCTTCCACAAGTTTATCCTTAAAAATAAAGCGGCAATCAACACAGTGTGCAAAATCGTTAACACCATTAAGGCCTACGGCCAAGACCTTTGCCTCCCATTATAAAACAGTGCTATTCATAATGGTCTCAGTGACTGCATTCTGCCTTAACAAACTGTGCAACAATACATACTGCATGCTGTATACCGCTAGTGTTTCACTTGTGGGTATTGCGTACATTCTGCGCAATGTGCCTAGTACTGCCACTGTAAAGTACTTTCCCTGAAACTATACTGAACTGCCACTATAACTGTGCACCTTATATGTTTTATGTGTTTAATGCAATGTGTGTGTGTTTAACGTAATGTTTATATATGTTTTATGCTGTTTAATGTCGTATTGTGTGTACTTTGTATCATTGTACTGTTATGTTTTGTATATTTTGTGTTGAACTGTGTTTTCTCTATGTATATTTATTTGTCATGTATTTCAAATGTGTGTGCTTAATTATGTATCATATTAATGTGTAATGTGTAGTTGTTGTCTGGATAGGGGAGGGTGTGGGACATATGCCTGTTACCTCTGTTAGACGCCAGGCGTCCCCGTCCTCCGTCACCTGTCACCTGTGTGGGTATTCTGTGTATATATCCATTGTACATAAATCTTTAATGCACTATCTTCTGTTTTGTATTCTGTTAATACCTTTGTATACGTATTCCGCTCTGTATATCACATTTTTAGTGTTGTGTACTATTTCTAAAGTTGCATCATGTTTCATGTATTTTATCAATGTATTTCATGTCTCTTGTATTTTATCAATGTATTCCGTGTCTCATGTATTGTATCATGTATTTTGTCCTGTATTTTATCAAGTATCATGTTTTTACTAAGCTTTTGTTCACTGTCTGTACACCCTGTAGTAAGTATAGAATCTCTAGATACCTCAGTATTCCCAATATACAACACTATCATGCATTGGCAATATGCTTAAGTTTATGTATTGAGTGAAGAGTATTGGCATCTAATTACGCCTTATGTTTATGTGATTAATGTTTGTTTTTTTTTTTTTTTTTTTTTTTTTTTTTTAAATTTAAGACCCTTTCTCTTTATGTCTTGCACTTGACTATTTATGACATGCTAATGTAACCTGAACTGCAATGTAACACAATCACTCATCTGCTCTTGTTGCACTGTAAATACTTTATTAATTTAAAGTTGCTGCTTCTACACAGGGGAAGGCGTAGGACATATGCCTGTTTACCACTGTTAAACACCAGGCGTCCCCGTCTTCCGTCACCAGTCACCTGTAAAGATTAGATTAAATTTTGAGGAATCTGAACAGGTGTTCGCCGAAAGCAGCGCGTCAGAAACATCGCGGACGAAAACATTGCAGAGAAAACTGCGCAAAGCGAAAGAGTTGTCTTGCGAAACATTGTGGGATAAGCGCAAAACATCGCAGGTCTAAAACATTTAGTACAAAATATCGCGGTCGAAAATAAATTCAAAAAACTTCACAGTTTAAGAACATTGTCGTCGGAAATATCGTGGTAAAAAAAAATTGCACGTATAAAAATCATCGCATGACTATAACGCCACAGACATGCATTTTCGGTCTTTAAAAATTCTCATAATGATTTGTGACCGCAAGAAGAAATGAGGAATATTTTAACTTTTGTATTTCATATTTTTGAATTAACTAATAAAATTTTAGTGAAAAACTAAGAAGGAAATTTAAATATTCAAAGACTGAAAATGAGTAAAAATGTAATTCTAGGATAACCGTTAATAGAATTTTAAACTTTTATAATTAACTAACAAAGGCCATTAATTAATTAAACATTTTTATAAAATTTTACTTGTAATTTTTCATGAGAAATATATTCTAAAAAAGATTAGGAAAAGGAAGATGAGTAACTACATGTGGTTACCTCTATTAAAATTTTTAATTAATTATCAGATTGTAAAATTCTGTTGAATGCATTAGTTTTCTACTTAATTTTAGTTTTCGAATGCTTAAGTTTCTTGCTTAATTTTTCAATAAAAATTTGTTGCTTAGTTCAAAAATATAAAAGTAAAAATATTCCTTATTCCTTCTTGAGCTCACAAATTATTGCCGTAATATGCATTTGCAAATTTCAAAGCTTGCTTTCTCCGCGACGTTTTAGACCATGATGTTTTTGCCGGGTCATTTTTGCCTGTAACCAGCTAGACAACCAGAAGTGGTATTTTATTTGAAGTCCATGATAGTTTTCAACGGACACTTAGAAATGTTACTTTACTTAAAGCACATAACCGTATTTAAAAAAAATAACTATATTGCAGTATCATCCAAAATTTTTTATTTTTGGATTATATTGTAACACAGTTTTCCAGTTTTGGATTATACTGTAAGACGTTTATATCAAAAGAAGCAATATATTAGAAATATTATATTGGCTTAAATATTACCGGCTTATATTATATTGACTTAATATTGGCTGAAATCGATAAATAGGAAATGATACTTTTCTTGAAGCTCTGAATAGATTTTCGAAACTTGGTACTTAAACAATCATGAATGAGAGCATGACCTTAGATTTTTATTAAATACGACAAACCAGAAATGGTATTTTACTTGGAATTCTTAACATACTTTTGTGGGAAAATGCACAATCGCTATAATAAGAGTTTAATAAAACATGCAGCACATATAAAGGCTATTTTTAATATATCTAGATCTTATATTTATTTATTATAAAACATAGATGAGAAGGATTTTTAAGCATGTTTTCTTTGCTGAATATGAAAACTCTTGCAACGCAGGCAAGTTACTGAAAATGCACTTGCTATTGCCCTATTGCCTTGTAGCATTGATGATGACAAGGCACAAGAGTAAAAAGCAAATTCGAAAGCAGTTATTATTTTACCTCTTTTTGATCCTGGAATGCAATGTAGTTAACATTCAGCTGTAATTCCAAAACCTAACTAGCGTTGTTTACTGATACTTAAATATCGTGGGGATATACGTGCAGATTAAAGTGAATTTAGATTTGTTAATACTATAGAAATTTCACCAATGAAAATTCAATTCTGGAATTCATTTCATAGTATTTTTAAATACATTATAAACACTTAATTATTTTTATTAAACATTAATTGAATTATATACTCGTATATTTGAACTGTCCATTAAAATATAATTTTTAATAAAATGAAATAAAGGAGTAAACATCTGATTATATTGATACACATTTAGAAAAACTGGTTTTTACGCATATCCAATTATACCTATTAAAATTTCTAGAATTTTGTATTACAGATCTTTCTATTTATTGAAATAACAAGTAAGATTTTGTTTTCACATGATAAACCGGAAGTGTAACTTTACTTAGAGCTCGTTGCTGTTAAAACATGAAATGGGCTGGAGGTCATGTAATGACTGCATATGATTTTTCATTTTAGTTTCTGTCTCAATATCTTCATCACTCGCCTTTTCCTATGTAGCAAACTGTCATCACATGTTTGTAAAATGTTCGTCTAAAAATTGTTCAAGTGTTCATGTCTGAATGTATCGAAATTCCATTTTTTTAGCCGCTTCTAGCGATAGGTAAATTCTCGAATTGATTATTTTCTTCCACCTACCCTTTGGTACGACAATGGGGTTACCGTTTGGCAGATCGGCGAACTGAAGCAATTTGGACAGTTTATTCTGTAAAAGCCGCCATCATTTTTATAGTGCACTAAAAAGTAAAATGGAGGGTATAGGAACTAAGATGAAGGACTTTGGACCAAAAGCGACAGATTTTGATTGATAACTGCACTGCATACTCAAATACCGAAATTTTCGTATAGATTAAAAATGATTTTATACCCGCAAAGCAACTTCAATCATACAACCTATGGGATAAAATATGAACAGGAGTTATTACAGAAAGAAGCTCATCTTAAACATTTTTTAGGAAGCACGATAATTATACTTAACATATTCGTCGAAATCTGTCGCTTTTGGTCCAAACGTTCGTCACCTCAGTTCCTATGTCCTCCATTTCATATGATTAATGTTATAAGAAGCAGGGAAAATCTTCACATTTTTTAAAGTTCTGTTTTTTGAAAAATTTTTAATTACCAAAAGCCTATAATGCTAATTTTCATTCGTTTTCATATGCACAAGAACATCTGTTAGTGCATGCTTGAGCTGCAAATTTTAATATTTGGTTTCACATTGACATGTAAAGCAGTCCACATGCGTTGACGTTAAAAATGACGCTTTTTTTTCTTTGTAGTGGCAACTAAAATTATCCCCAACACTATTTTCTTTACATATTTATCTTTTTTAAATTTTATATTTACCTTTTTATTTCTTGATATCATGTTTCTTAATATTCCCTTATTCATGAATAATTTTTCCTGAAGAAATGTCCCGCTCCTTGAGCCTACCTAACCAGCCGCTTCAATACACGAATGTAGTCTCTCTAAAGTGTTTTAGCGAATCCGTTGGCCGTTGTGTGGAGCATTTGTCTAAATATTGGGAACTTTGCCTTCTCTGAATGGGAAACCATTTTTCAATTCAACATGCTCGACATGCTTGGTGTTTGTTGGTGGTGTTGTGATTTATCCCACCCTATCGACAGTAACATCAGATCAGGTATCTGACATCAGAACAAGCCTAATAAATTCATCGCGCCAAACGGCCAAGATTGCGCCTATCGTTGCATAGAGCTTTGAGCACCATATAGGTGACTGTACGACTTTGCTCAGTTCCACACCTGTTTTGATAGAGAGCATGCCAGGGAGACAAGTCCGTGGGACTCTATTTCCCTACCATCAATCTCACGAGAGGACTTTCGGCTTCCTCTATATTTAGAGTGCCTTCACAGACTCTGTACATCTACATACATCTGCGCCTTCTGCGGGATAAGAACTCGGGCGCTTCGATACAGCAATCAGTGTCGCTAACCACCGTTACAGTTTGGCGGCTTAGGTTTTTTTTTTTTCTATCACATTTTTACTTAACTACACCCATTTTATATTTTCGAATAATGCTAATCTTAGCGTCTCAGATTATGCGTTTGTTTTTAGTTTATACTTTCTGTGTATGGATCAATTTTTAACAAATAAGCATTTATCAATATAAATTAAAGAGAATT